CGGTGAAAAAAGAGAGGTAGCGACTGATAGAAGGATTTGGAAGGTATTTGGAAGTTTTATTTGAGTCTACTATTCTGGCTAATGGAAAACTTTTATTTAATTTTATTTGATTTTAATAGTTTTGATAACTTTCCGTCGGACACCCTGTACATGTGGAATAACTAGAAGAATCATACCAGATAAAAAAATCATACAATTTTATTTTTAAAAAACGACGACCTTAATTCTTTTTGGAAAAATCTAATTTAATTGACTTTTGCATTTCTTCCATGCACATCTCTACCTACAAAAAAACTATTGACATCGGAAAACAAAAAATTAACTCATTATAGAATTTTATTTTAGAATGGAATTTCTTGAGTTTTTATAACGAAATTCATTTTCAAACAGCGCAAATTTTTTGCAGGAATATTCTTCGTCTCATATCAATGATTACACTTAATTGCCTAAACAAACTGACATATGTCTCCTTACATTCAGAGATCGAATTCTAAAAAAATATTTATATTCGCGTAAATGTTTGAATAAAAATTTGGCTAAACAATAATGTCTTATTTTATTTATTGTCAGAAAAGAGCTTTTATACATCAAAACTGTTTTATTAAACGTTTTTAATATTTACCATGATCTTCATTTTTTTTTACAATTTAGTATAACAAAATTTATTATTAATTACAATATCAATGCAATTAATACAACATTTTCGATATTTATGCTATATTCACTTCTTTACATTAACATTATATACAGCACGCAAAGCCTGTTAATACATTTTAATGCGACTTACGCTTGTTTACTCTTGCGTAAATTAGATGCAGTGTACACATAATTATAATAAAGATTAATCAATAGTTTTATTACAAAGAATATACTTAACAATATTATGAAGAAACTAAGAAATAAAAATGCGTAAACATCAATCAGATTTCGTTCCACCCAGCTCTGAGATCTCAGCGGTGTTACTAAAGTTCCATTTGGATGGCGGACGGTGTATTCAACACTCCAAACAGCTAAATCTAATGGCGGTATTGGCCGATCCCGGAATTCGCTGGATAACCGTTTCATGTTTCTCGTATAACTGTATAAAAAATTACACTATTAATAATGAAATAAATAATTACATTTTAACAAACGCATCTTAATTAAAGGAAAAGCCAAATATATGACAAGACACATAAACAGGAAAGCATAATCTATAATTTTATAAACAATTGTTTTTATAGGAATTTGTAAATCGATTATACTATATTAAATATTAGAGTTTAGTAATTATCTGAAATGTAGCTATATTGTTAATATTTACTGCTTAAATAATAATTATTAAAACATGATCAAAGTATGATACCTTTCATTATAAAGTATTTCTTCAACTGCGTGTAATATCGACTGCGTGGACAAAGTTGTAATGTCCAAGTATATGGCAACGCCTTTAGCTACTAATATTCTTGTGTTGGATTTTTGATCTCCAAAGAAAGGCATTACGATCATTGGTACGCCTTTCCAAATAGCTTCCTGCGCACTCAGAAGACCACCATGTGTCCAGATTGCTCTTACATTTTTATGAGCTAAACATAAAAATATATTATAATAAATATTTACTCTCAACTATGGAAATCTCACATTGATACAAGCATTTTATTAGCTGTATATGTCCCGATTAAACTAATGTAATAAACTTTTAATCAACAATTTTGTTGCTTATACATTATTTTTAAACAAAAAACGAGATGTTCTTATTGTAATAAAAATTACTCTTTTATTATAAAGAGATTATAATATATATATAACTGTAATAACTAAAAACTGAAATTGTCTTATAATAAGTGCGAAAAAATTATAAAATAAAATAAAATTGTTTAGACATTACTGTGAAGTAACTATATGAACTTAATACAATAAAAATTAATTTTTTTATATTATAGTTATTTAATTTTGAAATGTATACTCCGTCGAACGAGAGATTAAAAGTAGGTCGGACGAAAACAGGTCTCCACAGAACATCTATTTACATATTTATACGGTACGCCACGCTCTAGGGACTTTATCCTCAATCTCTCGTTGGACATTGGAGTATAGTTGTGCTGTAATTAGTCAATAACCAATCTATCCACAAAATATTTGTACATATACCTATGCGATGTTTTCGTGTATGTCTAATATTTTATTAAAACACTAGTTATTAAAGTAACAATTTGAATTAGTATTACGTAAAAGTAAGTAATTCTCATAATCATAAATCTCATTTTTCTCAAAGCAGTTTTTAGAAGAATGGTACCTATTGCATTAATATTGGTAAGAGTTCCGTATGCGAGCTCCTCCGATTATAATCTACTTTTGCAGGCACGTAAGTACGTACTAAAAGAAATCGAAAGCCTCTGTGCCAACTTGCGGAAATAACTACTTTTTTAAATATTTAAATTTTTATTATTTTGCTACATTTTGGATTTTTGACTGCAATATTGACCCTTTTTTCGCGTAGAAAGTTGAAAGTCCATGTAAAATTACACAATAAAAGATCACGTTTTGCCCTGTTAGCAAAGGAAGCAAGGTATCTAATTGTTGTGTTTAGAAAGTACTATGCTATCTAAAAACTATCCACTCAAAGTGTGAGATCCACCCTACCTCACTTCATCCCATCTCTGCTACAAAAATTTGAATATTTAAGAAAACTAGACACTACAGACGCGCGCTTCGCGCGCGCTATTTAGCTTTAACATTATACTATTACTATTACACTATTAACTTCTTGATACACACAACTGTCAAAATATACAATGACAGCTGCAAATAAAGTAAGCGCAGCAAGAGAACCAATCGGCATCGCGGAAAAGCGACAACAATAAACTTCACATCTCCGTTTTAGAAAAGGAAATAATTATTTCCGCAAGTTCGCACTGGGGATTTCGACTTCTTTTAGTATGTATGTACTACGTGGCTGCAAAAGTAAATTCAAATCGGAGGGGGGTCGCGGCGCATACGGAATTCTAGCCGAAACTTGTTTAAAAGAATTGTTTACGTTGATAAACGAATATACGCAAAGCAATAGCAAAGCAATTAAACAGATGTTATGTAGAAATATGTGTCTCATGTTTCTTGTGCATTCATAGAAACTGTGAAACGTACATAAAACTTCGCTTTGAGGCATCCATTTCATAACCATCACATTTTCCGGTATCTCAAATGGCACTTCAATATCTAACTTCCACAGCACTCGCTGCTTGAGTTTCGACAGAGCCCGTATAACAGATTTAACCGTGTCTAAATTGAGATGTTTCCATTTCACATTCGTTCCTAACGATATTATGATAGCTCCATTTTTTGCTCCGTCAAGAAATATGCGCACATCCTGCAAAATAATGGTGAATTGAATATTTCGATAATATACAAAAATATGAATCTTAATGACGAAATATAATCGTAAGTAACTGATACATTTTTAACAGATTATATCTAAGCAGAATTATATTATCAAGCTTGTTTAAATAAGATTTATGCGGCATTTCTTTTAGAAGTCGTTGTTATAAATATTTCTGCGTTTCTAAATTTAGCAATTTTCCGTGAACTATTTATCTTTTGCTTACAATTTATTGATTATTATATAAATTAATTAATAATTAATAATTATAATAAAAATTATCTTACAAAATAGAATTGCAATTTATTCATTTATCTATAGATATTAAAAATATAGCATATATGTGTTTTTTACATAAGTTTTAATTTCTACACAGCACACATGCATATCTAAAAAACATCTTTACAACGTCTTATACATACATAACTAAACAGTGTACATCCTGAATTCTGGGTTGGTTATATGTACATTATATTACATAAAAAATAAACGCTTGCATAAACTGTTATAAATTTGAATAAATGTCTATAAAAGGTCAAACCTCACCGATTTTATCACCACTTTAATAATATGTTGTAGAGGAGGTCTTTCTGATGAGTAATTCTATGCAAGAAAAAAGTAGGAGACGGCATTGGTTTAGAAGAAATAGTAAATTAAAGTTTCTCAATTTTAAAACATTTTTTTTAGGTATTAGTTATAAAGTACGTTAATTATAAAAGAAGTAATTTGCCGTATGTATTTATAGACAAATAATAAATTATTGATATGTGTGTATAGACAGTACGTATATAGGCGGAGAGTTTACCGCCCTTCTTCCGTAGGCAGGGGTGAGTGGGGATGGACCTCGGTTCGCGTAAAAAATTGAAAGCCCGTACCTTAATAGACCTTGGTTCGCTCTGTAACCATCAGAGGTAGGATAGGGTAGATTGAAGCGATATTCATCCCCTCTCCCCGCCTTGCTTATAAGATAAAACAAGGTCTGTCATTGTACGGTTCGGATTTTCAACTTTCGGGTTTTCAACGCGAACCGAGGTCCATCTTCACCCATTCTTGTCTGCGAGAGAGGGGCGGTAGTCCTTCCGCCGCGCCGCCTACATGCATGTGTACACGTATCAATAAATTACTTCCCTTAGCACTAAAAAATATTTTATTATTATTATTTTGTTATTGTTATATTTTGTAATTTTATTTTGTTATTATTCTAAAGTGTTATTCTAACTATTCAACTTTTGTTTAAAATTTTTTTCTATCTTTTATCTATTTTATCTTTTTCTATCTTTCGAAGACATTCGGCCCAAAAGAGAAAAGCCGATTGTTTTCAAAGGAGTGTTTCACACCTTTAAATATGCATATGAACACGTATAAATAAGTAGTTCATATTTTTGTATAGAAAAAAACATATTAAAAGCTCATCAAAATCGGAGGCGGACACTTCCATATTTTTCCTTGCGAGATATTTTGTCATGATATTTTTAATGTACTAGACATCGCTACGCACGCGCTACTTAGCTTTAATATTATATTGTTGCTATTATACTTTTAACTCTTTAATACACACAATTGTCAAAATATACGATGACAGTCGCTCACGAATAAATAAACGCAACAAGAGAACCAATCTGCATCGCGGAAAAGCGACGATAATAAAATTCGAAGTATAGGCTCCAATGGAAATCCGCACGAATATAGAAAACGGGCTAACTAAGAACCGAGGGCGGTAAATGATGCGCGAAAGTTTTATTTATATTTTTATTTTACATATTTTTCAATTTTTGACTGCGCGCCGGCTAGATTTGTCAGACTTGAAACACAGCTCCGGTTGGAGTAGTAAAATTTCCTCTATATCTAATTAAATCGATTCGATTTAATTTTTGATGCTATATGCATCTACCGCGCTTGGTTCTTATTAGTTAGCCCGTTTTCTATATTCGTGCGGATTTTCATTGGAGCCTATATTTCAAACTTTAAATCACACTGGCTGAAAGTACGCATAATATTACAGCTAATAATAGGTTATTGCGATAAATATTACCACATGCCTCAGTGGTCGAATTGGTACACCTTAACGGAATAAAGGAAGTTCCAAGTTCGAATACTTTACGAGATATTTTATATTTTATATTAAAAATGTCATGACAAAATTTAAAATGTCTCAGGAAATTTTTATTTTTTAACGAAAGAGAGTTTCATTATAGTGTTTTGAAAACGTCTCGACAAGGCGGCCTGGCATGAAATATAAGAGGTTTTATTTAAAAAATTTGAGGTGATTTTAATCTAATCTTAATCTTAATCTAACTTAACTTGGCCTTGAAAAGGTCACTCAAGGTTAAGTCCATATTTTCATCATGTGGCCCCCTTCAAACCATGCAACTTTTGTCTATGACGAGTTACAGAAGAGATATTAAAATGCATTACTTAAATATAAGACCCTTGCATAATACAAAATGCATAATATAAAATATATAACGAACCAGGGTTCGTATAATTTCTCTTACCTCAGGATACGTTACGATTACCTCGCCGGCAATTGGTTGCACGGCCTGAGCATTCAATCCTGCAATCTCTAGGGTATTCGGTGGCATTGGTATCGCAGATTCGAGCGCAGAATGACTATTAATTAGTACAATGTTTATACTTTCTCTTTCTATTTTATGTAATGGTCTAATTGCATGGCCTACATATTCCTCAGTAAGTCGTTGAATAATAGGGAAGAAATAGTAATGTCGTATGAGATCATCTACAATGTAATATAAAGTATTCCACGTTCTCAGCCACAAACCTTCAGGTTTTGCAATGGCTGCATGTGTGTAAGATCGAACAGTCGGATAACTTGGACCACCGATATAATCCTTAAGATAAGGTGTAGCACCAAAAGGAATATAGCCTACTATGGGTGGCTTGCCTTTAGCAATCTGAAAGAACAATACTTACAGACATAGAAGATAAGAAGCGATTGTGAAGATTACCGCTGATATGAGCATGCAATAACTAGACACTTTCAATTTGTTACGCAACGCACTTGATTTAAAAGGCAACTAAGTCGCTAAGTCATATGCAGTTTCAAAATAGCCTAAACAATTGAAATTTACTAAAGTTGATCGCTTTACCTCCCATAATCCGTAGAAACATTGAATTGAAGTAACGTCTTGCACTATTACGTCATACTCGACTGTTTTAATAACTTTCAAAAGATCTCTCGCTGGTTTAGTTTTTATCATTGTGTCACATGCGTTAATACCCCACTGATATACAAAATATGCCGTATAAAATACGCTATACTTCTGCCATTCAAGTGGGTCATATTTATTAGATTCATCATAAGTATCCATTAGATCATCGAAAACCTGAAAATAATAAGTACCCTTCGCTATATAGGAGAGGAGATATGAAAATGTGACAAATTAACATTTCCAAAAGCACATTGCATAATCTTACGAAAAATAGAAAAAAACATTTTAAAATAGAAAAGTTATGTTTTTTCTTATTTGTTTTATGATTTGCAAATAATCGATTTATATCTCTCAGAATGTCTTCGAGTCTCCTATAATATCTACTTACGGCGTATGTTAAATTCTGCGCGAGTTTACCCTTGATCTTAGTCTCTAATATGCTGACTGCGTGTACATGATGACCTTTGCGAAGTAGTCCTTTAACCAAATGCTCCGTCCAGACGTGGTGGCTAGGCGACGGAACAGGCTCTACCACTAAAATCGACAATGGTTTCGACGCTATCACAATATCACCCATTAAAATACAACAAATCAGAAAAATGACGCGACTCAACATTGTTGCGCAAAACTTCTCGCGTGGTCTGTCTATCAGATCTTGAGACCGAATGTATCTGCATGCCTAGTGTAGCATTCCCCTTCTCCTCATTTCGAGATAATCTTAGGTAAAAAACACAAGTCATTTTGACGTCAAATACTAGTCATGTTTGTACAAATGATGTCAAATGACCAAAAAGTGACTATGTCTTTAAAAATGTTATACTGACGTCATTCCATAACGTCACTACGACGTCTATTTTTAGTCATTTTTGGGCTATGACATCGACGACTAATAATGGACGTTTATAAGACGTCATTTCTTAGACCATCTAAAGACGTCATTTTAAAAACGTCTTAAAGTCGTCCAAATAAGGTCTTTTTGTAATATAACTATTTTTACTTCTTAATATTGTATAATAAAGTAATAATAAAATAAAAACCACAAAATTAACTGCAATATGCTTGTTTCGCAACTTTATGATTAAAGTGGTGAATTTATGGTATAAAGTGGATGTAGTTGCGTGTGATTATAGTTTTATGATAACTATTTCATGCAGTGTTATAGCTATCAAGAAGATATCATTACCAGATTTTTGAACACTTTGAAAATGTACCTGTTGTAGACAAGTAGGTACTATACAGTTAATAAGGAAACATCAGGGTCAGAAGGTCGCCACTGTCCACTGGATCGTCGAAGTCAAGCAACACGGGCACGGTACTGTACTAGGATGGGTGACCTCCTTGAGAAAGCGGCTATACGCACATGATATGTAAAAAAAAAAACAGTTAAAAAAGCGTTTTTTTCCTAGATAAAGAAAAAGAACGTTTTTTAAATAAACGTTTATCAAATGGACATTTTAATATTTTAATTTCATAAAAAAACATTTCTAGAAACCGGTATGTCGTACATTGCCTATTTTTGCCATCAATAAGACGTCAAAAAATGACGTCGTGTGAATGTGACATATCGACGTCATGCATTTTCGGGTCTCACGAAATCCGAAAGTTTTATTTACACACTTCGGATTTTGCATCACAAAATCTCCGCTTGTAGGGTACGTAGAGAAAAAATAAAAACACTTTTGTCGTATAATTCGACCCCAAGCTATCGATTGAGATTAGTAGACTGAATTCGATCCGTTCAGTCATTTATTGAGACTCAAAACCTCGGGTACTCGTAACTCGACGCGTCGCGTGAAAGGTGAAAGAGTCACGGTTTGTCTCGCTCCACGCGCACTTGGCGCGAGACACTCTCGTGTCTCTTGATACGTGTCTCTTGATTTTAATAAACATTAATAAACATTAAAATTTTAAGAAACCTTTTGTTTTTGAATATTTTTTTTATTTCTTCTTACTTTCTTCAGAAAATATTTGGTGGATCTATATATCATATTGTCTTCAAATACTAATAAATTATAGAATAATAAAAAATATACAATATGTAATTAACCCTAATCCCTCCATGCACTTTTGTGTCCCACGCGTTTCTAACGGTCGTTCGTTCCGGGAAACCAACGATCGTGGGATAATCGCCCCCACCCCTAAAAACATTTGTATGGCAATGTTCGTGCCCCGGCCGTAAGTAAGTGAGAATTTTCTTTCGATAAAAATGTATTTTTGTGTACAATTTAAGTGTATTTAAAATATTTTTGTTGTTAACAAAATTTGATATTCTACAGAGGACTATTCTACAGAGGAGGCGCTTGCGATTATAAAAAAAATAGTATATTGTACAAAGTGGGAAAAGTGATCGATTCTGAATGAGTGCGACTATCACACTCATTTGGGCTATACGTACACTGAGAAAAAAATGTTGTAAATTTGACTAAACTCGTTTAGTTGTAGTGATTTGTTTAATGCAAATATTAATATATTTAAATCAAATATACGTGAGTAATATCAAGAAATTCTGAATCTATTTAAATATAATATTTTTTGAATTAACAAATGTTAGCTTGACAGCCTGTGACCGCTGCATTTAGTTGAATCAAATAATATTTTTTTGAATCTACGATTTTTTTTTCTCAGTGTAGTGCGGCAATATCTCATTCCTGCACGGGCTCAAGTGGGGAATTTCTCGCGTGGGAAATTGGCTATTTGTCGCACAGATGGCGCGCGCGGAATAGGCCACTTTCCACGCACGTGTGATGTAATAGTTATTTGTGTAACAAGTGCTGTAAGATGGAAATTGGACGTGCGGAGTGAATCACTCGCACGTCCAATTTTCAACTTAACACACGTGTTACACACCCTATTTTATGTTGCAAGTACGTGAAAAGTGGTCTATCACGCACGCGTCGCGTGCGTAATGGGCCACTTTCCACGCACGTGTGATGTAAATATAATTTTTTGACATAAAAAATATCTTGCACACTCCAAATAGTCCAAATTCGTCTTTTCGTATTCAAAAATTCTTTTTCTGGCATCTTTAAAGTCTTCCTGTACCACTAAAAAATTACCAATTTTCTGGCAACGAAATTAAGAATTTCTATTTAATTAACAATTATCTCAAATTTTTTTCTTATTTGCACTACTTTTAGCTTTAATTTGCGTGCTAAAGCATTAAATTTCGTCAATTTATTCGTGAGTTATGATTTTTTAAATAAAACAAGTCGTAACGTGCGTTTTTCAACATATAATTGTTGTAAAAAATATTTAAATAAATAATTTCCAAATTTTCTTTACATTGATTTTTAGTCGAAGGTATAAAGATATTATAATAATTTTTGGGGAATTTTTCAAAGCTATTAACATAATGAAGAACGCGTAGGACACGAAAGTGCATAGTTGGAGGAAGTAAGTGGCGGAAAAAACGTTGGAGGAATTAGGGTTAATAAACAATAACTTTTAATTGGGGTATAAAAATCACCCCTGCAGGTGACCATTTACGCGAAAAAAATCAGGCGCCCATTTCTAGGTATAATATTCCCGTCAATTAACGTCATAACGGGACGTCGATCGCGGTGTTAAAAAATTTCCCACGCTGGATGCGCGAAATTAAACAGTCACGTGACTGAAATTTGGTAACTGTCGGCCAATCAACATCGCGCTTCGTTTAATTGAGTAGTTGGAAGCGATCGTTTCCGCCGTCTTTTTACTCCGTTCCGGTCAAATTTCGCGTACGAACAAGTGTCCGAAGTGCCGGATTCGGCAACGGATAATCGTCGCGGCGTGATAATCAGTTCCCGTGACCGCGATCAGCGCGTATCTCGGACATTCGCGATCGACATCCGTCACGGCGTCCCGCGTTCGCGCGTTTTCCAGCAAGCTTGTCTCGCGTACCTATACCTATCCCTATTCGCTCCAACCATGCCTTTCGTGTCCCACGAATTTCTAACAGTCGTTTGTTCCGGAAAACAAACGATCGTGGGAGAATCCCCTCCACGCCGGAAAAAAGTTATTGTGGCAGGGAACCTCAGGTAAAAATTTCAAAGTCCTAGCTCATTTACTCTCGAAACGGGGAACAATCAAAATCTCGGTGGGACACGAAAGTGCATGGTTGGAGGATTATGTCAGTGTTGTGTGAAAGGTAAATGAGCATTTTTTTCGATAAAAATGTATTTTTGTGTATAATTTAACCGTATTTAAAATATTTTTGTCGTTAAAAAAAAAATTTAACATTCCACAGAGGTCTATTATGGCTCAGAGGCAGGTGGAAGAGGTGGGGAGGAGCTACGATTATATAAAAAAAATTAATTTTTTTACATAAAAAATATCTGTCACACTTCAAATTCGCCTTTTCTTATTCAGAAATTCTTTTTCTAGCATTCTTTAAGTCCTTAAAGTCCTTCTGTACCATTTAAAAATTACCAAATTTGCGACGACGAAATTAAGTATTCCTATTTAATTAATAATTATTTTATATTTTTTTTCTCATTTGCACTACTTTTAGCTTTAATTTGCGTTTTGGTTCATTAAGCTTCGTCAATTTGTTCGTGAGTTATGATTTTTTAAGTAAAACGAGTCGTAACGTGTGTTTGTCAACATATAATTGTTATAAAAAAATATTTAAATAAATGATTTTCAAATGTTCTTTACATTGATTTTTAGTCGAAGGTACAAAGATATTATAATAATTTTTGGGGAATTTTTCAAAGCTATTAACATTATAAAAAACACGTGGGACTCGAAAGTGCATGGTTGGAGGATTATTGGGGTGAAAAAAACGTTGGAGTGAATAGGGCTATTTCACCGCACTCGTTCGTCCGATGAGAGTATGAGAGTGTCGCGAGTCGCGAGTGCTGTTCGGTGTTCGGAGTATCGAGGAGCATCGTCAAGAGCATTGAGGAGCAATGACAGAAGCGTCGTGGAGCATTCTGGTTGATTAATTGCGACAGGTGGCCGGTCGCAGCCGTCACGATTACCGGGTGTGCGGCGCTTTCTCGAGATTTTTCCACGGTCAAGGTGTGCCGAGATATGATTCGTTCGCCACGCGAAAATGCCTGTAGTAGTGTCTATGTAAAGGTGTCAGTGCATAAAAGTATATATTAAGTGCATAAAAGTGTGCGTTAAACAACGGAGGAATAAAAGGATTAACGGAGTAGAGGATTAATCGTAAGATGGATCGATTGATGGCGTTCAGCTGCCGGCCGGTGAGTCTTCCCATGCTGGTTTTCGTTCGACTATTTCTTGGGTTTTTCCATCGCATGTTGTTTTGCTGCACGTTTCTCCGAATTGCCTAGAATTGTCGGCAAAGGCCGCGTCGTGCCCCTCTGTCCTCCCTCCGCCGCCCTCCTTCCACCCCTCGTCGCTCGAGCGCTCGGGCGATGTTAACCCTAGAATCCATGACTGGGGTCGATTTCGACCCCAGGCGAACTTTGAACTACGCTCCTGAGCTAGCGAGTGACATTATCGACTCAGGACCTGAACCATAATTCATTTCAACTTTCTAAAAGTAGGGTTATGTCGGGCGCAGATTAGTTGTTCGCTAGCAGTGAAGTAGCACAGTCGTAAAGCGGGCGTGGGGTCGATATCGACCCCAGTCGTGACTTGCCGTTTGAGTTTCGTCACGGTAAGCTAATTTTATTTTTTCGCTAGAATCAATATATATCATGTATTATTACGTAATCTGAGCATAAATAG